AAGAAATTAATGTGCACGCACTTGTCACATTAAGTCAGCATAACAACAAATTTGAAAATGAGTGCGGTGGCTAGCAGCTGTGAGGAGATTGTAAGTAAAAAAGGATGTAAGGATGTTGCCAGAGTGGCTTTTTGGTTTCTTTTCTTGTGCATCCCAGCCAATAGCTCCGCATCTGAAAGAGTTTTTTAGCATAGGGGATAATATATGCATTTTATTTGTTAAGTTTAAGAGTCTCTTTAACACGTTTGTTTATTTTATTTATTGCTTTTATATATTAATGTATAAATTTACATAGTTGCATAGTAACTGGAGAATATGGGAAAGGAAACATTGCATCCAAAAGTGCCTTATATAATATGCGGATATATCGCATGGCACAGAACGATCCACACAAAACAAAATTGCTTTCCTGTCATGCAACAGAAGAATAGGACTCTACAAATGAACAATGGTTGTTTGATGATGTTAGAGAACCGGTGAAGTGTGTGTGTATGTTTAGAAAGTGAGACGGTAAAGTGTCTTTGGGCCAGAGGTCTCACACACACTGCTCCTGTTTATTTTCCGAAACAAGCCTCATAAAAAAGAGCTCATTATGTAGACTGTAACCTTTCACTGCCACGTATAAAACTGTGGACACCCCGATAAAGAAGGCTGAACATTAACTGGCACACTAAGCATCTTGTTTCAGAGGCGTCCCAGTGAGGTTAGGAGGTCTATTGTCCTGTCGTAAAACTGATAGTGAGATTAGCTGCTGAGCAACAGCTTTATCGTATTAAGAGAATCAGAACACCCATAAATAAGATTCCACCGGAGAATAAATTTATATGGCATATTAATATTTATATTGCATTATGTTTAGAGTCTATCAAATAACAATTTTTATTTATTTATTTTATATAGTCATTTATTCATTTTTTAAATGTTTTAATTTTAGTTTTTATTATTTGTTTATTTAATTGTTTATTTATTTGTTTGTTTATTTTTATTAAAAATATTTATTTATTTTGTTATTATTGTTTATTTGTTTATTAATTTATTTATTTTTATTAATTTATTTATTTATTTGTTTTTATTTTCATTTTTTATTTTTTATTTGCTCATTTATTTTTTGCTTATTATGTATTTATTTTTACTATGTATTTATTTTTATTATTTGTTTATTAATTTGTTCATTTATTTATTTTTATGTATTATTTTTAATTATATATTTGTTTGCTAATTTCTTTCTTTCTTTCTTTATTTTTGTTTATTAGTTCATTTTTTTGAACTAATTCATTATTCATTTTATTGTTCAATTTTTATTTATTTATTTATTTATTTATTTATTTATTTATTTATTTATTTATTTATTTATTATTTTTATTTCAAATTTAAAAGGCATTGGTGGTACACAACATGTTATGTTTGTTTGTTAAAACTATTTAAATGAATTTATTCACAATGACTTTTGGCATTGTATTTAATGGTCACTGTGGTCACCAAAGAGGTCAGTCATCTGCATTTAATCGTCTTATCACAATTTTTTATGTGGTTCATATTCATATATATCAATTTTTGAACACTTTTATTACATGTTAATAATCAATAATCATTTTAAATGTTAATAATCAAAAGAGTTAAAAAAATTCCATTTCGAGAAATATTGCCAATAAATATATGGTAATAATATAAATATTATTGCACAATTTTAATGCTTATTAAGTTTATGTCATTTTTTCTGATAGATTTAATTAGTAATCATTAGTATTTTGTAATTCAGCCATCAGATTAATTATTTTAAAATGAATTACATTTTAAAATTAATTGAAGTGAAATTGCTGTTTGTGTAAGTCTGTGTCTGTGTGTGCGTGCATGCATTTGTGTGTCTTTGTCTGAATGTTTGTGCATGCTACTGTAACTTTAAAAGACTATACATTCCTGTGCCTATGCAAATAAATAAATTAATACATGCATGATAATTTACATTCAAACATTCAAACACTACTTGTGTCAAGATTATTAAATGTGTATTTGTTGATTATTTTACTGTGGGATGAGGCCATGTGAAAGATTTTTCTATGACAAAAGTGACACTGACACTGGTAGATCACATGGTAGATTGCATAATACCTATTTTTATACTTGTACTTGTCTTTTTTAACTCTTAAATTTAATGAAGTATCTACTCAATATTTTGGATGCACCACAAGTATATTTCAGGCTTAAGAACATAAGTCTATATAAATCTATATAAACATTTAACCCTTATTTTTGCTAAAACCAAAGGGTGGTGTCATAATAACAACATGTGGAAAATATCATCATCAGGCAGCAAATGTCACTTCTTTATTTTATGTAATATCCCTAATACATGGCTCCATATATTTTCTTTTCACCACTAGGCCTCATCTGTAATTCTCCTACAGACTAAACATTTCAAATACTATCAGATTTGAGCAAACTATCCTGATGTCCATATATGATTATTTTCAGTTTGGAAAGCCATGGAAAGAAGTTCTCTGTGAGCTTGATCCTCATTTGGTTATTTTGCCAAATACCTGCTTTGGATGGCTTGCAATCCATTTTTGACACTTTAATTTGCTGTAGTACATCACATCAGCTTGTTCCAAGATTCAATATTATGTACACACACTGTCAAACATTACTGAATCCGATGTTGAATGTTTATGTGATTCCGATGCATCCAGAGTTGTTTTGGAAACCATTTGATTTTATAAACATGCATATTACCTGGTGAGGAATTTGTTTTTCTGCATACTTCAACTATATGGGCTGAAAAGCTGTGCCAGGATGGTATGTAAATTGGCCATAGTTTTTAAATGAATGGGTGTTTTGCAAGCACTAGTTGGAGAAAATACAAGAGGCACCTTCTGCACAACAAAACAACATGTATAAAATATTTGCACCATTTTTTTTGCAAGATCCTGTAATGAGTTGCATTAAATAGGGCGTATATGTGAAGTAAGAACTTATTTAAGGTGGACTGACTCAAGATTCTCTTAAGTTTGCGCAAAGGCATGTTCTTCATACCAGTTTGCACATTCCTGGAACCCTACTGAGACCGAGAGCCACCCTGTTCTTAAATAACACAGTTGAGCTTGGTTTTTAGTCATGGTTTTATCATGAGGTGTACATAACTAGTGTTCAGTGTTTAAATAGATATTGTATGAGTGTTGACAATTAAGCCATGCGTTAATATACCCCAAGCCCACTAATATAAGACTAATTTAGTTCAAACTAAATGGCGTTATTGTCGAAAATAAATCACTTTACATAATACTTAAATGTCTTATATTAGAGTCTAAATGCACAAAACATTGTTTACGCTCTACAAAATGCTGGGTATTTGCACCCAAAGTTGGACAAACTCAACCTTTTGGTAGATAAAAGTAATAAAAAATTATTTATAAATTTATTTATAGAAAAAAAGTTTGGGTTTGTCCATATTTGACTGCAGTTTGGGTTAAAAAATACAACTTTTTAAAATGTATATATTATATATGTATCAGTTTGCTACTGATGGTTTAGTGTTCAGTGTTTGACTAGATATTGTATTAGTGTTGATAATTAAGTCATGAATTAATACACACAAGCCCACCAATATAAGACTGATTTAGTTCAAAAAATGATGGTGTTATCAAAAACAAATCACTTTTTTATAACACTTACATGTTTTAATAATAATGTCCATATGCACAAAACATTGTTAACACTTTTAAAAATGCTTGATTTTTGAACCCAAAGTTGGACAAACCTAACATTTTGGTAAATGAAAGTAATATAAAATAATTCATGAATTTATTTATAGAAAAATAATGATTGAATAATCTAAATGCCAACTAGGACAACTTTAGGTACAGTAATTTCACCTTTATGGCAAAGAATAAGTTCTTTTCATTGTTTTCAAAGTGAAATAATTCATCATAAACAAAGCAGGCTGAGAATAATGCTCATTTTGGTGGAAATTTCAGATAGCACTTAGAGGTTTTTGCATATATATATGAATCAGTTTGTCATAGGATGGTTTAATGTTGTGTTTGACTAGATATTCTATTAGTGTTGATGATTAAGTCATTAATTAATATGCCCAGGCCCACTAATAAAAGACTGATTTGGTTCAAACTAAATGGTGGCTTTATCAAAAACAAATCACTTTACATGACTATCAAGTGTCCTATATTAGCATCCAAACTAATGCACAAAAAATATATTATTTACACTCTAAAAAGTCTAGGTTGATTGAAGTCCAATTTGATTTAAAACGTAAAAGAAAATAAATATAAAATAATATAAGCGGAAATATTTGGTTTTTGTGCATATTTGACCCAAATTTGGGTTGATACAATCCCGCATTTTTTTCAGTGTATTATAAGCATGTAATTCAGTTTGTCATTTGATGTTTTAAATGCTTGCGCTCTTTAAAGAAAGATGAACTCTGTTTACCTTTGAGGGTTTTTATCAATCATCACCTGGGAAAACAAATGTTTTGAAAGCGATTCCACTGATATACTGTACTGTTGTTGTCTGCTTTTATCATTACAGATGTGGTGAGGGCTCTGCCATTCTTTTACATAACAGTTCTAAAAGTATATCTTTATAACAAACATCCCTGATGTAAACAGATCTTCAGATTCTTCATTAGTATATTTTCTTACATGAACATCATAGAACCTTTCCATACCTAAAAGTGACAAAATCTTATTTATATTTTTAAGATGTTCCTCAAAAGTGGTTCTATTGCATTACTTTCATAACATTACTTAAAAGTGTTTAGTCATTAATAACAAGCCACAGATTGGTGTTGCCATCAAACATTCTGCATCTGCATCTACATGAGCAATCACAGCTCTGATAAAGACGTTTAAGGTTTGTATGGTTTAAATTAGCAGTGTGTGTGTGTGTGTGTGTGTGTGTGTGTGTGTGTGTGTGTGTGTGTGTGTGTGTGTGTGTATGTGTGTGTGGCAGAGCAAGTGTGTGAATGCCATGCTTTATTGACATACCTGTGGAAATACAGCAGGATGGACAGCATGGTTTGATCGATGTTGCTGTTGCAGATGCCCTCATTGAGCAGGTAGCAGGGATCCCGAACCACCGACTCCAGAGAGTCCTGTCTCATGATGTTGTTGAGCTTATCTGTGTTGAGGTTCTGAAAGTGAAGCTGGTCCCGGAGCTGTCTGAAGTGGTTAACCGATGTTGGACTGCCCAGACTTGTGTGGCCCGATCGGCCTGGTTCCGGCTCGCACCCATTGGCCAAATCTAGACAGCAACTACAGCAGTCCAGGCCGATGGGTGAACGGCACTCCTCGTTTGACATCAGGCAGGTCAAATTTCCCCTGTGAGAGTCGGAGAGGTTCTCCTCCACCTGCTCCAGGTGATCACCTTCCTTCTTACAGTTCGTCCAAGTGTCCAGGTGCTATGAAAGAAGAGTTGATCAACCTCAACTGTGTGTTCTGGGTAAACACATCTCAGGTTTTTTTTTTTTTTTTTACGAGCTGAGTCGCCTGTTCGCTTGTAATGATGCAGCAGGAATGCGTTTGAACGAAAATCCAGAAGCTGCTTCTGTTTTATTTTTTCTCCTTGCTGTCCCTTGCCCCGCACTTTTCCCTGCCCTCTGTGCGTGCAAACAGTGCAGACAGAGCGAAAGAGAGGAGGTGGAGGCATGGAGGAGAGGGCTGGAATGAGGGAGGAGAAAACTCTCTGATTGGTGGAACAAGCTGATCAGTTCACAAAAATATCCCTCCTCCTTTCCCCACAACATCACAGGACGGGGTGGAGCCAAGTTGGGATGGGAGTAAAAGCATGCTCTTTAACGTGCTATTCAGTGCTGCCAGGGGCGGAACCCTGAGGGAGAGCAAACACATAGTACTTCCCCTGTTTATATCACTTAAACAAATACAAATGCAGCTTTTGGGGGCTTTTTTTTTGTAGTTTTGTCTTGGTGTCCTAAGGCTATTAAATTCAAGCTTGATTCGTACCCTTTGCGTGCTGCTGGTACAAATACTGGTTGTGTGAAGTGTTCCATGTCCAATGATTCACCACTAAAGTGTTTCTATCTATCAGACCAGTTTTTTTCCTTTTGTTTTTCATTTTAAAGAGACACAATTTTGGCTGAGGTGCCAGCAGTAAGTCAAGGTGTTTAGTATCACTTCATTTTGTTTTGAATGCAGTTTTAATGCACATTGATTTTTTTTTTTTTACTTAACCACCTAAGTTTTACATATAGTGAAACTAACCAGACTTAGTTGAATTAACAGAGAACTTAAAATGGTGTGTAAATTCAACTAAGTTTTGTTAATTCAGCAGGAAAGTCACTGGCTCGAGTCCTGGTTGGGTTGGTTTGCATGTGGAGTTTGAATGTTCTCCCTGTGTTCACATGGTTTTCCTCTGGGTTCTCCGGTTTCCCCCACAGTCCAAACACATGCACTGTAGGTGAATTGAATTAGCTAAATTGGCTGTAGTGTATGTGTTTGAATGAGAGTGTATGGGTGTTTTCCAGTACTTGGTTGCAGCTGGAAAGGCATCTGCTGTGTAAAACATATGCTGGATAAGTTGGTGGTTCATTCCGTTGTGGCAACCCCTCATGAATAAAGAGACTAAACTGAAGGAAAATGAATGAATGAATGAATGAATGAATGAATGAATAATTCAACTTGCCAATGTTAATTTTCCTCTTATAGTTTCAGCAAAAGCCCTGATCACACTGTGAGATTTCAGCCACGATTTTGTCATCTGAGACAAATTTGGGAAATCCTAAAAGATTCCTAAAATCCTAGGCTAAAATCTGTGGTCTTTTATCTTTGGTTTGACATGTTCACAGATAGCTGCTTAATGCCCGATGCGATCAGATTTTCCCAGAAGATTTCAGACACTTTCCTGCAGTGTGACAATAGGTGCGTTCGACTTTGAACCACGGCTGCAGCTGGTGATCAATGAGATTAGCCAAGTGCAGACGGGGGCGGAGTTTAAAACAGACCCTTCGAGCCAGACACTTCGGGGCTCAAAGTTGCGCCAGTCATGACCAATCACATGGCGTCATCATTTATTTATTTATTTATTTATTTATTTATTTATTTATTTATTTATTTATTTTTATATTAGCAAAAGATTTACAGTACATATAAAACAGAATAGAAAACAAATGAATATAAAAAAGATAGAAAAGTTTCTATATTTTAATATATATTAGTGTAAACCCAAAACAAGGTATTTTGGTTAAGCCTTAAATTATGGAATGGAAGGCAATGAATCTTAATGATTAAAATTATTTTGGATAATGAAAGCCTTTATAAACGAAACACTTTAATCCACAAAGAATGAACAAAAAAACATTCCCAAAATAAGTGAGCTACACTTTATGTACAGTAGAAATTTCCAGAAAAGAGCAAGATATACCATTGTCACTTTTAAAAGTTGTATATAAATGGCTTGACAGAAAATAAAATATCTTATTATCATATAAATTATTTTATAATTATTAAATAAAATAAGCATTTAACTTAATTTGTTTTAAAAAAATAAATAAACTTTAGGGTTATTTGAGTTAAGATTCAGGTTATTCAGTTAATATATCATTTACATGGTTCATGGAGCTGAATGCAGTAAATAGTCCATATTTTAAAAAGGTCGAAAATAAACCTATGCAAACATCTAGCCTTTATAAACAAACTATTTAGCAAAAGATGATACTGCTGTAAAATATTTGTAGTCTTTTAATACGCAAGATATAAACAAGATAGAAATGATTGTTTGTTTTGAAATTTGTGAGACGAAAGTTGTCCAATAATAAACCCCAAAACGTATGTGGTTGTGTCATATGGTCAATCCAGCCAATCCTGATATATCAGTGTCGTTATCGCAGCTCTTGCAGTTGCTCTTCAGACGCTGCACTGGCTGAGTCTGCTGTCTGATCTTAGAGCACTGTCGCGGTACTTTGATGCCATATGTGACAGTCACATGGCGTCAGCGCAGCATCAATCCAGACAAAATTTCTAAACGGCATGGACTTCGATCGATCTGCATAGCGCTGCATGAAGTCGAACGAACCTAATAGCTGCAATGAGCGTCAATCCAAGAACCAATAGGAGCCCAGAATCTGATGACGCAATCCATGTGACAAAATACAATAACCGCGGGGAAATGTCTAAACAGTTATTTTTTCTGGTTTTATTATTGAGGCCTACTGTGTGCAAAATTGCAGCTACAGATTGTTTATGTTTGCTGCAAGGAATTATTTCAGAGGCGGTTCATTCCGCTGTGGCGACCCCGGATTAATAAAGGGACTAAGCCGACAAGAAAATGAATGAATGAATGAACGAATGAATTATTTCAGAATGTGGGATAGTGAAAGTGTCACAGGTGGATGACATCAAACTCAGAGGGAGTTTTCTACTGTGTTTGGTGCATCTTCATTGTCATTCAGTTTGACATTACGATGGCTGAGATCTTACAGTGTGACTTGGCAGCCCTGTTTGTGCAGTGTGACATGCTACAATCATTCAGGATTATGAAAAAACTGCACAGTGTGAGCCAGCCTTAAGTCACAAGGTGTCAAACTCAGTTCCTGGAGGGCAGCAGCTTTGCACAGTTTAGTTTCAACCACAATTAAACACCCGATTAAACTAGTTGAGTCCTTCAGTCTTGTTTGAAACCTACAGGTAAGTATGTTGGAGTTGGGTATAAACTAAAATGTGCAGGGCTGCGGCCCTCCAGGAACTGAGTTTGACACCTCTGAGCTTAGTGGTATGAGAGAATGGGTTTACACATTTTTTTCTAGTGAAGTCAAATAGTTTGTTTTAAGAGTATAAGCAAACATTCTGGCCTAATTTTGTTATGGTCATATGTTTAGTTTAAAGTTAAAGGTCAGTGATGCATTTTGTTTGTTGAGTTCCCAAGTTCATGGAAAGATATTGACAGCCTGTTTATCTGAATCAGATTTTCGACAAACTGAATACTTGCCATACTTCTAGACGTGATAAAGTTAAAGTGCTGGCATGAAGTTAACAGCACAGAAAAATCATTCAGTGGTCAATAAATTCTCTGAACGCCTTGCAATGTTCTACAGATATCTGAGAGCATGTTTAAAATATGCCATTGATTTGTTTTTATCTCAACTTACAATTAAATTTAAAGATTTTTTACCACTTGTAAGTTTTCTGGGTTCATTCGGTCCAAACCAAAAGAGAGAAAAGTTGGTTTTGGTCCTGAATTGATTTGCATTTACACTGTTGTTTTTAGGGTGGAATTAATGACACATATTTTTTAAAACAGAACTACATACAACATACAAAACAATAATGTGTGCTTATTGCATTGCATTTTAATTTAACAGCTCAGAACCTATTTAAAACAATAAAATATGCAACAATGTCAAAACAGACACTGCATCTGCAGTGATGCATATCTGAACCCTGTATGGAATTGTAATGGCTAGCATTGCACCAACAATGTGAGAGAGAGAAAAAAAACTAGTATGCTTGAACGTTCTGTTCTTTTTAGGGTTGCATCTTCTGACATCACATCCTGTTTTTCAGTTCATTTAGATGTATTTGGTTCATGATGTGCTCACATTTAAAACAAAACCTCACCAAAGTTATTTTTTAAATGAACCAGGACTCATGTTTTCTGTAACATTTGGTCCACTTGTGTTCGCTTGTGCACCAATGTTTAGATTCTAGCATTCACACATACTCAAATGAACCACACTAGCAGAGCAATCATCAAACTCAAACCTGCTTAAAATGAAAACATGCAAATATTAATTAATTCATTCAATCTTTTTCCTTTATTAATCTGGGGTCGCCACAGTGGAATGAACCGCCAACTTATCCAGCATATGTTTTACGCAGCAGATGCCCTTTCAGCTGCAACCCATCACTGGGAAACATCCATACACTCAAATTCACACACATACACTACAGCCAATTTAGCTTATTCAATGAATCTATACCGCATGTCTTTGGACTGGGTGGGGGGTTAACACAAACACACAAACACAAATCGGAGCACCCGGAGGAAACCCACACGAGCATGAACCTACACAAAAATGTCAACTGACCCAACCGGGGCTGAAACCAGTGACTTTCTTGCTGTGAGGGGATCGTGCTACCCACTGCGCCACCGTGACACTCCATCTAAATATCAATTAGTATTAATTTCAGTGCTTGAAACTACACAATAGTTAATTGCTTTGCGTGTATGGCCATATACAATAGATACACTACATAAAATGGACATTGCAAACTGAATTTTGGCAGTCTGACAATACTTGTGAATAATACAATGTTTAATATACACACTTGTGTTATACAGTGTGTGTATAGAGCAGAGCTCATCAGTTCAATGCATTGTCCTCATTTAATAACGTGTTAAATGCCTCTCTGGATCATCTCCTGAAATGTCATTTATTATGTAATAGGCTAAGACTTACAGAAAGACCCTTAATGGGAGTTCAAGAAATTTAATTTAGCAGAGAATAGGTGAATTATGATTGCTTTATTGAGTGTGTAAAGAGGTTGAGACTTGTTCGGGGCGCTTGAGGACTTTGCCAGCGTGAGGTCAAATGAGTTGATTATTAGTCCCTCTGCTGGCAGAAGTGGTGAAGTGCGGAGAAAGTACAGAAAAAATGATATGAAATGACTTCATTATATTATAAATCTGAACTCTGAG